AGAAAGAGTACAGAGAAGAGCAACAAAGATGATTAGGGGACTGGAGGCTAAAACATATAAGGAACGGTTGCTGGAATTGGGTATGTCTAGTTTAACAAAGAGAAGGACGAGGGGGGACATGATAGCAGTGTTCCAATATCTCAGGGGCTGCCACAAAGAAGAGGGAGTCAAGCTATTCTCCAAAGCGCCTGAAGGCAGGGCAAGAAGCAACGGGTGGAAACTAACCAAAGAGAGAAGCAACCTAGAACTAAGGAGAAACTTCCTGACAGTTAGAACAATTAACCAGTGGAACAACCTGCCTCCAGAAGCGGTGAATGCGCCAACACTGGAAGTTTTTAAGAAAAAACTGGACAGCCATTTGTCCGAAATGATATAGGGTTTCCTGCCTGAGCAGGAGGTTGGACTAGATGACCTCCGAGGTCCCTTCCAACTTTATCATCATCATCATCATCATCATCATCATCATCATCATCATCATCATCATCATCATCATCATTATTATTATTATTATTATTATATACTGATTTATCTCATGATTCAAAATTCATTATTACAGCAGATCCTTGTTAGTTCAACTCAAAGATTTATATTCTATCAAAAAAAGAATGTACCAGCTTCCGTGTTCTGTAGGACATTCCTGAAGGCAACAGGGTAAACAAGATAGATTTTTCCACCTTAGGTTTTACTGTAATTAAAATAGAGAAAGGCTCCCTTTTTGAGTTAGGTGAAGTATGATTTAACATTCTAGAACAGCAGTCCCCAACCTTTGTGGCTTGACAGCCTGGTGGGGGGAGGGGAACTGGGCTCTGTAACTGCGGGCTGGCACAGCTCAATTTGTGCAAGTCGTGGGCTAGCACACACACGCATGCTTGTACAGCTTGACTTGTGCGAGTTGAGCTGTGTGTGTGTGTGCATGTGTGCCGACCCACTGCTTGCATGGCCCGGTTGCAAATAGGCCATGGCCCAGTAGTTATGCATAAGATTTGTAATTTTTTTGAGGGTTGCTAAAGTGCATTACAGGGAATTCTTGATTTATCACCATAATGGAATCTGGAATTTCCATCATAAGTCATGTTGGTCATAAGTTGAGATATCACTATGATTGTACCTAATGTTATGAGTTTTTTGCAGTAGTTGTTAAGTGAACACAGTGGTTGTTAAGCATGTATTTCTGTGGACTTTTTTTGCTGGAAACCAGTTAAAAAAGCTAGAAGCTGGCAAACAAGTTGTAAATCATGGTCATGTGACTTTGGAACGCTAAAACCAGCCATAAAAGGTGATTTGGTTGCCATGCATGCAAAATATGGTCATGTGATCTCAGGTGTGTGTGCAGTCAATGGAACTTGAGAACAGGGTCTTAAGTAACTTTTGTGGGGGTCTCTCATACCTTTGGTTGATAACGTGAGGACTACTTGTATAATTTTTAGGAAGCAAATATTATGTAGACAAGCTGCTTTTCAAAAGGGTGAGGAGAGCAAAGGCTGTCTGATACAATTTTTAGTTGCATGTTCCCTCACCTTCTTGTTGGTTTATTATGATGATTGATTTAGCTCTATTTCTGTGCCTTTTGAAAAAAGCATATAGCATTGAAATAGAAAGGCAAGATAGAAATATAAAGAAAGAAATGGGTATTAAGGAACTATTGTGAAGAGAAGATTTTTCAGTATGTTCTGTTTATTGCTATGTATTACAGGGAACAATATACCTGTAATGGAAAACTAGCCTTAAGATCACATTCTACGAGTCCTCCTCGTTTGTCAGAAGATGAGAACTTTCCATCAAAGACAAGGGTAAGGATTTTCCATATTTGCAGTAACCAGCTTTTTAAAATTTCAGAATGCAAAAAATGAATGTAACATGCAAGAAGTTAAAACAGAAAAAAGGCAGAACTGATGTCATGTACAGTATGTATGTATGTATGTATGGTATATTGCAATGTGTTTTAAACTACAACGGTGTTTTGCAATAAAGTGCTGAGTTGGACCCAATAAAGAACATGGGAAAAGGTAGCATTATAGTTTTATTTTTCAACATTAAGGTATTTAGTCAATACTAAACTATTTAGGTTTTTTGGGCCTCTTCTTAATAATAGTAATTTGAAGATGTCTGTTTTGAATAACTTACTTATCTTGCATCAAATGCTGTAGCTTAATAAATAAAATGGTATGAAAAGATGAAGAACTCTGAAAATTGTGCAGCTTTCCTCAACTTATTCCCAGAATTTTCCTTCAGAGCCTTTATAAACAATTTCCTGATGCAAAGGTTCCCCAAAGAGGCCTGCATATGCTAAATTAACTCTCCCCTGCCATTACTACCACTTATGTGGAAATAATTGCTGATTTACATTAGGAAATTACATAACAATATGTACATCAACCTTTTCCAGAAATTATATACACATGTTTTCTCCTAATTTTCCTGTTTTTCCCTATTTGCACTAAAACATTTTACCTAAAAATTGAATGTTTCAGGGAGATTGTTATAGAAGAAAAACTTCTTTTGATGACAGTGACTTTGAAGCTCGTCTCAACAGTTGGAATCTTGGGGTAAATTTGGTTTTTCTCTTCATTTTTTTTATTTCAAAATATTACTAGTTTAATCCCTGCATTCAGTATGTGTAACATGACTTTGCATATGATGTTCTAAACTGAGTTGGAAAGAAACTAAAATAAATTCTGGTGTTTTTAAAGGTATTTAAGAATCCAAAACTTTATTTTCCAACTAGACTTTTCTAGGAAATCCATCAGGAAGATGTACAGCAGCAGATNTACAGTTTATTTTGGAGGCTGTATATAACCGTCATGACTAGTAGCTATTTGTACATCAAATAAATCTAATCTCTTTCAAAACCCATGTAAGGAAAGTGTTAGATGATGGGAACAGGAAATTAAAAGGTCAGCGGAGCTGCAGAGAGTTGTGGATAATATCACATAAGATTGGAAAGATACAGGATGATGGATTTTTGTTCCTTTCATGTGTTATATGATGGGAGGCTATGTTTGTATGAGGAGAGGGGTTTTTTTTTCCTCTGAAAATCACTATTTTTGCCCCTATCAAATAGTTATGTCATTTCAGGAATTGGTACAACTATTTAAGAAGTTTCAGAAAGGTTCTACATTTGTAGTCCTGTGAACTCTAAAGCGTCTCTTTGCTTTCAAACCTGAAGTGCTACATAGCCTAATGCCAAATAAATGGTTTTGTAGATGGCCCTGCCTCAGCCTATGCAGTCTCGTCAGTTTGTTAATCAAATTACTTGGATTTTTCTGTTGATGGACAGCTTACAGTGGGAACTAAATAAGTTTCTAAAATCTTGAATTGTGTCTATTTATTCAAGGCATATACCACATAATTTCTAATTACTCTGGATGGTTCACAAACAGCTTAAAAATATCAAATAACAGTACATCAGTAAGAAATATAGATGGGAAAATCAGATAGCAACAAACATACAAACACTCTTCAAAAGGGTCTGTACCCATTCTGGCCAAAAGCTGGATAAAGAGCCAGGTCTTCAAGGTCCTGTGAACTTCCAGTAGGTTAGGAGCCACCTGGATTTTGGAGGGGATCTCATTTCAGAGGGCAAGTGCTGTGAGAGAGGGTGTTTTCAGTATCTTAGTAGATGGTATTTAACCAAAGGAACCCAGATCTTGCCATGCTTACTGGTCTGAAGTGGTCGAGCAGATACTAGGGGAGATAGGTAGTTGGGTTCTCTACCATGAGTAATTTTTATTTTATTTTTTATATTTTGATTTATATCCCGCCCTTCTCCCCACAGGGACTCAGGGCGGCTCACAACATATTTAAAACAAAACATACCCACAATCCCCGCCTAATAAAACCGAATTAAAACCAAATATTTTAGAGTTGTGATATTAAAATTTTCTAAAAAACCCAATTTAAAATCCTCCCTAGGCCAGGCCCGCTTGTTGGAAAAGCCATGTCTTGAGGGCGCGGCGGAATAACAAGCACCTTGAATCACACTTGGAAACAAGCTGGAACAGAGGTGTTACATGGCCATGCTGCCTCATTCTGGACTAGTTGAAGCTTTGGGGTGGTTTTCAACAACAGCCCCTTGTAGAATGCATATGTCAAGCTGAAGTGACCTGATTGAGAATGATTGTTTGAAGGGCTTCCCTATTTAGGAAAGGGCACAATTGGTGTATTAGGTCAGGGCTTTTCAACCTTTTCACCCATTGTACTACTTTTAGGATACGGCAACATCCGAGTACCACCAGTCGCCTAGCAAGGTGTCAAAAACTTGATGACCAAAAAAAAAAAAGGAAAAAAAGTGATAAAGTACAGGTAGTCCTCGACTTACAACAGTTCGCTTAGTGACTGTTCAAAGTTACAATGGCACTGAAAAAAGTGCCCCCCAAGCCACAGCCGAGCAAGACACCTGCCTGCCCACCCAGCGACGCTCTTCCTCCTGTCCGAGGTTTTCATTGTTGTGAGCATTTCTGTTGGGGATTGGCAGCGGGGATGGGGTGGGGGGGTGTTTGGTTTTTATTCCCCCCGTCTGCTGGGTGGTTGCAGCAGGTTTTGGTCACTTCACATGACCCTGGGACACTGTGACTGTCATAAATATGAATCAGTTGCCAAGCATCTGAATGTAAATCACAAGACCCTGGAGATGCTGCAACATTCCAGCTGATCGGCACTTCTTCAGGGCTCAGCAGAAGCACCAGGATCAGCGCCGAGCTCCAGCTGGAGCCTGGCGCTGATCCTGGTGCTTCCATTGAGCCCTGACAGTCCCGAAGAAGCGCTGATCCTGGGGCTTCCGTTGAGCCCTGACAGCCCTGCAGCTCCAGCCATCTCTCGCTCAGGCTTGTCCTGTGTTGCCACCGGTTCAGCTCATTCCCCTCCCCCTCTACCACTTTTCTAGGATGGTCGTGTACCACCTGCCAGGTGCCAATGTACCACAGGTGGTACCCGTACCACTGGTTGAAAAGCCCTGTATTAGGTCAAAGTTATGCAATGGCCTTCTTGCTCATCAAGCAGGAACTATGAATCCCAGAAGATTGCAGATTATGTTCTACTCTTGAATGGGAAAATGTCTCATCCAAGTTTAAACATACAACATCCTCAGGGCTAGGTAACAGAAAAGATATAACTCTTGTTTTAGAATTTTAGAATGTAATGATTCTATTTGAACATAATTCACTTATGAATGGATTAATAGTTCATTGTATTTTCTAAAATAAGGAGTGCTTGCTAGCATTGATGATGTTATCTACTTTGGGTAATAAAAAACATCTTGCAAGAATACAACCAAGCTCAGTGAGCACAAAGATCCCTCATTTCAACCCTGAGCTACAAATATTCACCTTTATTTTTAAAAATATATTAACAAGATAATCTTTAACTTTAACTGGTGTTTCTGCTGGTTTTTTTTTCTTTACAAGCAATACATGATTATCACAATTTATGTGCAAGAAGTATGTTCTAGCAAAGTTTTGCTAGAAGAAATGTTTCTTTCTTTGCTTAAAGATTGGCTTCATGACTTATATGTTCTTCTGTATTCGCAACTGCTTCTTGAGCAGAAAATAGAAATTGTGAACAGGGGAAACTTTGTTCAAATGCTGTGTCAGTTACACTCCCTTTGGAATGGGACGTTCTTGCAAGAATCATGGTTAGTTTGAAATTGGATTGTTGAAATGTATTCAGTTTGGGGCTACCTTTGAAGACTACCTGGAAGCTTAAGCTTATGGAGAATGTGGCAGTTACCTTGCTGGTAGGTGACAGCCATTTTGCTAGTGTTATATCAATATTATGGGCTTGGCATTTGTTGGTATGCTTATGTATACAGTTAAAAGTGCTTGACCTTCGATATAATCTTACATGGCTAGGACCTATGTTATTTAGGGAACCGCCTTCCTCAAAAACAACCTACCTGTCCTATGTAGTTAGTCCAGGAAGTGATGCTTTGGGACTTAAGAGTCAAAAGTGCTGAATCAGTGTTTGTTTGTTTAGAATATCTCTCTCAATCTGTAGTGTTTTAATTCCGCAAGACAGGATTACCCTTCCACTTTTAAAATTCAGAAAGGTGGCAAAAAACTCTTTGCTTCTGGGGCCCAAGGTACTCTAGTGGTTTGTTTCCAATTTCTAATTATGTTTTAATTATATTTGTTGTATTAAATTGACTGTTTTAGGATATTTATAATGTTTATATGAGCTTCCTAGAGCATTTAAAATTGAGCAAAATATAAATTATGTAAATAATAAATAATAGATAGAATCTGCCCACAGGGTAACAATAAATGGAATTTTTTTTTATCAAGATCAAGATTATGCATGTTTTTAAAAATAATTCCAAGGGAAAATTTAATGAAGCTTTATCATATTATCCATGATGATATTTTTCCTGAAAATCAATGGGTTCTTGCTATTATAATTAATTTCTGAAATATTTTTTAATTTATTCTTTTATTGCTTTTAAAATAATAACAAAGAAATGGAAAATCCCACTAAGACAGTTCTCCAACAACTAAAACAATGCCTACGTATGTGGACATCACAGGCAGACTACACAGAAATCTAATTAATTAAGTTCTTGGTAGAAGGAATGGGAAGACCTCAGTTACAACAGCAAAGACATGACCATGCATTGATTGTGGAACAGATCACTTACAAATTCCAAGTCAAGCTAAAGTAAAAGAACAAAAAGAACTAATTTTTATGCTGTGAGGAATTGTAGAATGAAATCAAAGAAGTTGTTAAGTTGAAAGGAGACTGCAAAGATCAAAAAATAGAAGAAAGCAAACTGCTTATCTGAACAGACACTGGTTATGTCCAAGAAGAGAAACGAAAGCCAAGAGAGATGAAGAGGGCAAAACTGAACAAAGACTTTCAGGCTCTAATCCTGGGAAGGTGGAAAAAGCCAGTTTGGTCTCATGGTTAAGGTATCAAGCTAGAAATCAGGAAATTGAGTTCTAGTATCACCTTAGAGAAGAAACCCAGCTGGATGACTTTGGGCTATTCAATATCAGTCTAACTCACTTTGTAGGTTTGTTGTTATGGGGAAAAATAAGAGGAGGAAGGAGTATTAGGTATATTCGGTGCCTTGAGTTATTTTTAAGAATATTAAAGCCAGATTATAGACAGATGACAGATACAGTTATATAAAAAATTGAGGATGATCAGCAGCAAGGTGGATAAACTCAATTACAGTAGACATGAGTGCACTGTTGGAAGAGCAAAAGGACCAGGTTCAGGATGTAATCAGTCAATTAGAAGAGACAGGAAGCATAATACAATTACCTCTGTAAAGACATGGAAGATGGAAACAAACACAGAAAAACAAGAAATGTCATCCCAAAATCATCCAAACCCGGGAGTTTCCAATGTAGAACTGGTATGCTAAAAAGTACCAGTGGACAAATAGAGGCTGTCCTCATTTAGCTACAATTGATACCTGTTAATTTTGTCATTAAGCAAAGTGGTTGCTAAGTGAAACCCCAACTGTGTTTATGGTCTTCAGCTTTCCTTTCCTCCAAAGGTGTAAATGCTTGGATTATTTTATCATATGTGTTCTGATCTAATTTCATTTTCTAGTACTACAGGTTCTTGTAAGTACAGAATATTTTCTAATTCATCTAAACAAGGATTACCTGATTCAGAGAAAATTCTGTGCAGTAGAGAAGTCAACATCCAAGATGAAAATCTTCACAACAGCCCAGCAGATATTCTGGGAGTCCCTCCCTAGTCAGCAGGGAATGAGTCACCCTAAACCAGGGGTGTCAAACTGGCGGCCCACGGGCCAGATGCATCATCCGGAAGCCATGCCCACCCCATGCCGGCAATGGCAAAACCATCCCGACACATTGCGCGACGTCACGTGACGTTTGACATGTCTGCCCTAAACAGAGCTGCTAGATGGCTAACATCAGACACAGTGTGTGTAAGGAAATATTGATGTTTTTCTCCCCTTATCGTTACAAGGTAATCCTTAATATGGATTCTTACCTGAATCCAGTTAGACTTGCTTCAAGTCTTCTTGCAACAGCACTCCAGACTAGCTATTGAATAAACCAAATTGCACCCTGGGTTCAGCATATAGAGCAGTGATGGCGAACCTTTTAGAGACCGAGTGCCCAAACTGCAACCCAAAACCCACTTATGCATCATCGGGTGCCGGGTGGGTGTGGCCCATTGGCTGGACATGCCCATTGGGTGGGCGTGGCTACGATGGTAACGGCAGACTGGGTGGGACTAAAAAGTTCAATCAATCAATTCCAACTTTGCAAGATCTTTTTTTTTCCGCGAGAAGTTGAAATTGACTGATTGATTGAACCTTTTTTTTTTTGTACACGGCGGCGGAGGCCTAAAGCGAAAAGGTTTTATAAAACCCAGCTGAAGGCCCAGGACTGGGGCAATGGTGCGCGTGCCCACAGAGAGGGCTCTGAGTGCCGCCCCTGGCACCCGTGCCATAGGTTCGCCACCACTGATATAGAGAAAGGCAGCATAGGAGTGATATGATCCAAGGCCCTGGTCACCCACCTATTCAAAGCAGCAACTAGGCCTCAGCCAAACTGTCCACCAAATCCTCAGGCAAAACCCCATATTCTTGTTTTGGTTCAAATCGAAATGAAAAATATGTTAAATTCAAATTATCAATGAGGAGAGCTTTTGGTTAGTCCTCACTTAACAGTAATTGGGACTGGCATCTCTGTTGTTAAGCATCGTGATTGTAAAGCGTGATGTGACATGTCTCTGCTAACTGACAATGACAGTTATAGCAGTTCTGGTTGATGTTAAGGAAATCTTGCACAATTGTTGGACCCTAATATCACATGATTTCCATTTGCAACTTTCTGCCTACTTCTCCACTAATTTTCCTTCTTGGAATTTGGCACTGAAGGTTGCAAATAACAATCATGTGATTGCATGATGCGTAAACCATCATAATTGCTAGCCAGTTACTAAGCACCCAAATTATGATCTTATGATTGTAAGGGTGCTACTATAGCTCCAACTGCGAGAACCAATGCATGTTTCCTTGTTCTATGCCGTCCTAATTTCAAATTGTCTCGGTGAGTTGTTAAATGAGAACTACCTGTATTTGCATGTCTCTTGAAGAATTTTGGAATAAGGTGTATATTTTGGAATAAGGTGTATATTTCATTAGAATTGATCCTGGCCTCAGCCTACATGCTGAATCATTGCATGGAAATTTTGACATTAAAACTTGGCTTTCTTCATAAAAACTAGTTTTTGTTGTTTTCCTTTGTCTTGAATTTGTTGTATAGAATGCTCCGTGTGTTTTTATGTGTGCATGGCTTATTGTCATAAATTTCAACAGCTGACCCTTTATTTTTTGAAATAGGAAGTTCATAACTTTAATTTAAACAGATTTAATTGTAGAACTATATTTCAGCTCAGGAAATAGCAAAGCTAGAATTTAAAAATAATTTTGGAAAGAAGGAAACAGAGCTCAAGTGTTATTAAGTGAAGATACTGAGAGATAAACCAACAATATTATAGGTGAAGATTCAAAGAGTATGTAGGTATATTCTAAAGATTTAATTTATTTTATTTTATTTTATTTATTTTATTCAATTTATACCCCGCCCTTCTCCCGGAGGACTCAGGGTGGCTTACAGCCAGTTTAAAACAATGATACAAAACAATACAAAATTTAAAAATGATTAAAAATAAATATTCAAATTTGGCCGCTTCTACTAAAAATTTGATTAAAACCAATTTAAAATCCACTAAAATTCCCTAGGCCAGACCTGCTTGTTGAAAAAGCCATGTCTTTAGGGCGTGGCGGAAGGAGGGGAGATCCGGGATCACCCGGATCTCTGGGGGTAGTTCGTTCCAGAGGGTGGGGGCTCCCACCGAGAAGGCCCTCCCCCTGGGGGTCGCCAGCCGGCACTGTCTGGCTGACGGCACCCTGAGGAGACCCACTCTGTGGGAGCGTACCGGCCGATGGGAGGCAACCTGCGGCAGAATTTGTGAAGTACATTTGCTCTTTTCTCCCCCATTAATTAATACCAAATCTCTTATACAGTGTACTTTTTAAGTGTTTTTCCCCCCAAAATTAGTTTGCATAATGAATGGAGAAAGTGACAAGAATAGAATAACAATAGCTTTATTGTCACTTTGGATGTACACCAATCGGCATACATTAAAATGAAACTTCGTTGCATCAGAATTATGCATATACCCACATATATTATATGACACAGAAAAACAACAGTCTAATTCGGGTTATGTATACATGTGCATGGAGAAAAAAACCAATCTTGCGAGTTTACCAGACGGATGGCATAGGGAACAAAGCTATTACAGAATCGGGTAGTCCTGCTAGAAATACTTCTAAACCTCCTCCTAGAGGAGATCAACAGAAACAGACCATAAAATGGGTATGTGGGGTCTCTAACAATGCTTTGAGCTCTAAGCAGATAGCACTTATAAGCAGCATCCTGAAGCGAGCTTCCTGTGATCTTCTCAGCTGTCCTTACCATTCTCTGTATGGACTTTCTATCTGAGGCAGTGCTGCCACCAAACCAGACAGTGATGCAGTTTGTTAAAATGCTCTCAATCGTGCCTCTGAAAAAAGTGACCAGGGCAGAAGGAGAGAGATGTGCTCTCCTCATCTGAGCCGGAAATACAGACACTGGTTTGCATGCTTCACTAAGGATGAGGTGTGGAGAGACCAATTCAGATTGTTAGTTATCTGCACCCCCAGATACTTGATACTGTTGACCACTTCCACAGCTGCAGCCTTGATACTGAGTGGAGTATGATTCTGCCGGCTCTTTCTAAAATCTACAATGATCTCCTTTGTTTTATCAACATTTAAAATCAGGTTACTTTTATTGCACCGGTCCACCAGAGCCTTCACCCTTTCCCTTTAAGCATCTTCATTGTCATCCCAGATAAGATGATGAAAAATCCAGACTGATTCAAGATTTATGAAATTAGACTCTGTAGTTTATCCAAGCCAATGGACACCAGGTCAAAACATTTCAATCCTTAAGTGTTTAGCATGATACAATCGTTTTGGGATATAATAGAAGCAAAATATATTGTGTTTTCCATTTCAAAGTTTATCTTATACTAATTACATTTTCTTTAATAATACTGCAGTTTTTCAAATATATATTTTTCAGAAAACCATACAAAGCAGCTATAAATTCTAGGGTATAGTTGGGTTAGTTTTCTACAACAGAATTAGAGTTTTGTGGCAGCTTCAAGATTAATTAATAGCAGAAAAAATAATAGCAGAACAAAAAATAGTTTGAAGATATGAGAGGTACAAAATATACAAAATGGTTTTCTATAGCAAAATTACAGTTGGAGGCACCTTGAAGTTCAACCAGTTTTTATTATCAACTGAATTTTTGTAGATCATTTCACCAGATGCACATAGAATAAAACGTTATGAAGGAGAAAAATAGGTAGCACCTACAACATGCCTTCCAAGTTGCTGGATGAATTTTTGCTTTATATTCATGCTAGCATTTGATTTCATTCATTATCTAAGAGTCATTGTACTTGGATGTTTTTGTCTGCATATATTGGAAATAATCCAGAATTGCTAATTTACTTTTTAAAAATAACAAATAAGTAAACATTTTATAGATATTTGCAAAAGGTGTTAGTTGCATCAGTCTATACTTGCGTAATTGCATTGTTTCAACAAATGAAACAGTGGGTTTTGTGTTTAAGTAAAATTATTGGGCTGTTTAACAAAGATGTAAAAAGAATAATTCTGTGAGCTGACAGATGTACTCACTATGAACCATTCATAGTCTTTCAGTTTATACCACAGAGATGTCCGGTTAAAAGAGTGAGTTGAAGTATAAGAAAAGCCAGAGAAATGTGTATTACCATTGAGAAAAAATAGATAAATAAATAGACGTTAAAATGTTGCTTCTCAAAATATTCTTTGGGATATCATAACCTGCTTCAAGAGAGGAGTATCTCCCATTTTGTGATTCTTTGTTTCTCTCTTTTAAATATAAACTATTTTCATTCCATTTATATCTTACTTTTCCTCTTTACTTCACAGTAACTGAAGATTTGCTTGAGGGACTGTGACTCTTAAACTAAGCTGTTGGTTTCATGAAGCTAGTATGAGATTTTTTAAAGATGTCTCTGTCAGAAACTAAGCACAAACCCTTTAAATATCTTCATCTTGGAAATAATCACTGATCTAGACTTTATCACTTCTTTTAATGATCTGGACTTTAAACCTCTTTTAATGTATCTTTTTCAGCTTGAAAATCCTAGATATTTACGTGAGAAACCTATGTCCCTCTCATTGGTACGTAGCGTTCGCCTGTTTTTGGTTGTCTTGTTATAATAATTTTTCTCTGTGTTAACACTGGTGTTAAATACAAAATATTATTTTTTATAATAGATGTCACCCAAGTTAGGTATGGGGAAAAACAGCACTTCTCGAGATGAACAAGCATTATTCCGAATACATGAAAAGGAGGTAACACATTTTGCTTTTATAATATGTCAGTTGTCTGCTTTAAGGCAAATAAAATAGATAAGTAAGGTTATGAATTAAACTGAGGCTAATTTTGACAGCAGATATGACATTAGATATGGAATAAGACACATACTGTGTTTCCTCAAAAATAAGACCGGGTCTTATATTAATTTTTGCTCCAAAAGACGCATTAGGGCTTATTTTCTGGTTAGGTCTTATTTTGGGGAAAATACAGTACTAAATGCATGTCTGGCTGATGATTTTAACTGGGGCTTATTTTTGGGGTGGGGCTTATATTACGAGCATCCTGAAAAATGCTAGGGCTTATTTTCTGGTTTGATCTTATTTTCAGGGGAAACATGGTAGTTCATTATGATAACTAGCACTTTAGGAAAATGATATGCTATTTTTTTTTTAAAAAAAGATAATTTAGTGGCCCAAGGTGGAGTATCATTGCTGATGATACCTTGCTTTACATCTTTGCCCTGGACTGACCAAGTGATGCTGTGGAGACTGTAGGGGCCTGGATTGGGAGGAAATGGGCTCAGCTCAATCCTAGCAAAACTGAGTGACTGTGAGTTGTAGGTCCTCTTGGATCTAATGGCATTTTATTTTTAGTTCTGGATGAGGTTGCACTACTCCAGACAGCAGTGGTGTGCAGTTTGGAGGTCCTCCTGAACTTGTGGCTCACCTGAAGGCAGGACCAGAAGCAATGTATGGAAACTAATCAAAGAGAGATCCAACCTAGAACTAAGGAGAAATTTTCTGATAGTTAACAATTAATCAATGGAATGACATGCCTCCAGAAGTTGTGGGTGCTTCAACAATGGAGGTTTTTAAGAAGAGATTGGACAACGATTTGTCTGAAATGAATAGGGGTTCCTGCTTGAGCAGAGCGTTGGACTAGAAGACCTCCAAGGTCCCCTCCAACTCTGTTATTCTGTTGTGGTTCCTATGGCCAGGAAGGCTTTTGCACAACATGTTGTATGCCAGTTATATCATTTACTGGACCAGAAAGCACTGCTTAGGATCACTCTTGTCTTAAATAATTTCCTGAGTACATTGTCACAATGTGTTTTACATGGGACTGCCCTTAAAGAACATTTAGAAGGTGCAGCTGGTTCAGAGCACAGTGGTGTAGGAAGTTATTGTGCACCTTAGTACATACATGTTATACCTCTGCTTCATGATCTGTGTTAACTTCCATTGAATTTCTGAATATTTGTGGGACTGCAGCTCTCATGTTATTTCTGCTGATTTCATAAGATCTAATGAAAAAGGTGAGCTCCAGGTCCCATTGATTGACAACTAGTGGGACCTAGAAATTGGTATTTTCTTCTATATTGCCTGCACGTCTGAACATCATTACCCCCAATATTAGATTGCTGGGTTTTGGGAAAGCTCTAGAAACATGGATTTAGTCCTAGGAGGTTATTTGGAGCCTGTGATTATTGTTTTATTGTTATTGTTACTTTTGTTGTTTATTGAGTTTTGTTCATGGCTGCCAGTTTAGTTTTTTAGTAGGATTATTTATTACTGCTTATTAAAAATGGTGCTGTTATGCAGTGTTAGCTGCCCAGAGTCACTGACACTTTTGTAATTGTACTAAAGGTAGGATATAAAACCAATTAACGAAACATGTTATGTAATTTTGTCTAAGTCATGTTGTATACATTTTCTCAAAGTTTATTTAAATTCAGTTAAATTTTTACTGTCATTATTGGAAACATATTGAGTTTAAATATGGTCTATATCAACAAGTTTTCAGAAATTTCAGAACGTATGAAACCTGATGATAGAAATGATTTATTTTGAGAAAGAGGAAAGTCACTTCTGAATGCCACCTTTTCTGAGTGCTACTTACCCACAAAATGAGTGAAATTCTTATTTATGTTCTCAGCAACCTAAGATTAAACATATGATAAGAAATTGGTTTTGAACTCTGAGTGGCATAGAGAACAAATTGAACTGTACAATGCAATAGTGGTTGTATTATTTTCATGGTTATAAACAGTGATTTTTTTGTTAAAAAAAAAAAGGTGCCATAACTCACACACATCATATAACCTGCCTTACCTACCCTATAAGGTTCCATCCAAAAAAGGTGCCGGAACTCCATTCTGGGCATTCTATAACAAAAAAGCCCTGGTTATAAACTACTTTTGAACAGTTGATTTATTTTATGTAAACTCTGGGTTTTTAGAACCTTTTTGTGTTTCTGTTTAATTACAGCTTCCATTCCATTCTGTATTGTTATGTTTTGGGTTGATGTTGTAAAAACATTCATGTGATGTCATGTTTTACAGCCACACTACTTAGTGATGGAAATTCTGGCAGTCCTGGTTGCTGTTGTAACCTTAGGACTGCACAGGTACATGATTGCAGCAGGAGCAGAGGAGGAGTACCAAGCAAGCAGGCTGGTGGGTGGGTGAGGGCTGTGAGCAGGGGAGGGCCATGAACATGTGCTCATTGGTGAGGGTTGGGGGGGAGGAGGAGGGGTACAGCTGAGTGCTAGAGAGCTCAAGTGGGTGGAGGTGACCATATATACTGGCTAGCCTGAATTTTTATTGTGTGATGACAGGGTGCTGTGATGGCTGGAATTTTGAGGACTAGTCATAACTTTTCAGTGCAGTCTTAACTTTGAACAATTGGTGAATGAATGGATATAACTGCAGGACTATCAGTATAACACTACTGTAGAACTTTTCTCCTTTCAGGAAAAATAAATGTTAAGAAAAGCATGAAATCCATTGGAAGAAAAATGTCCTTTTTGAAGGCAGCGGAGGTGGGACCTTGGTCCAATCCTGTTTCTCTGGTTTCTAGTTCTCCTGAAGTTTGACTGCTCTGGCTCATTGCATCTTTCCAGAGTAGTGGGAGACAATGGGGTAAAAAAAGAAGAGCTCAAAAGATGGAACACAGGAGTGAAAACATCTTTATTAAGGGTGGTGCACTACTTTAGCAAGGAAATTATGTTTGAACTTGGAGTATATGCATGTGCCTCTTGCTTTATTTTCCTTCATTTTGGTGACACAGAGTCTGGGTTCAAACACTAGATGAACTCCAGTATTTGTAAATTATGGTTTTTATCTCTGTGCAATATGCTTGTGTGGCTTATTTAACAAACCATAGCTTTAGATCTGGAATGTGGAATAGAATAAGAAAGAGACAGAATAGGGGACACTAATGAATGTGTAAAATAAATCCAAAGCCACATATTGTTCCAAAACGTGGATCTGCCCAATTCTGATACAGATGGTTCTATTGCAGATTTGTGATTTTACAAGAACCTGTTTCTTAATTGAAATGTTCAGCATCAATGTAAGAACTTTTTATAATTATATCATAGAGTGTTAGTACTAGTTGTTTGTGGTAAATGACTACATGCCTTTAATTAATGTACATAGGTATTAGACCTTGATACAGATGAAAGAGCTTGTTTAGCAATTCAGTACAATGTATTTAACCAGTGCAGGATTCAGATAATTGCAGGCTGACTATCAGTCACTTGCTTTATTCTGTATCAAGCTTTCTTTTAACACAATTTTTAGATCTTCTTTATGTTGATGTGGATCTAAGAATTATGTCTTTAAAAAAACCCTGTCAGCTCCATACATGGTAAAACAGAGTTAAAATAATTATGCACAAGCAGTGTGGCTTTTATGGATACTTTGATAGTATAAATAATTACAGAACTAGATTGTCAGGCTATAATTGAGTATATTAAGGTTAATTTTTGATAAGTGGCAATCCTAAAATATCGACATAAAATATCTTAGTAAAATAAACATCTTTATACATAAAATCATGATTAAAAAGAGCCATGGGATAATCATGCAGGTGCCAAGTAAGTGTCTTAGTGCCTCCCTGAATGCCAGGATTGAAAGTGTTAAAGAGGTCTGGAGGCAATGTATTCCAGAATACTGAGGCAATCACAGAAGATGATTGCCTCATTTTCTGTTCTACGGTCCTCACAGTTTTTTGCATAGTTGGGATCTTAAGTAGGCTGTCTTTCAAAGAATGCATCAATAAAATCCTATAGAGCAAGACAATCCATAACATAAACCAGTGTCACGCTGTATAGGGCCTTAAAGGTGGTGACCAGCACTTCCTCTAGAAGTCTGTTGGCAACTAGTGGTGCAATTATAAAAATAAGGTTTTATTATGGAATAGTGGCTTTTATACTATTTACAGAATTCAGGCTGCTGTGTTCTTTACCAATTATAGCTTCCAAAATCTCTTTCAAGACAACCCTAGATGGATTGCATTGCACTTTCACCCATGTAGTGATATAAACATAGGTTTTTGTTACTAAAGCCATTTTTCCTTACCTAGCTTGTATATAGCCATCTGAATTACTTGAAGTCTCCAAAGTAGAGGAGCTAATCTTGTCATTTATACGCAGAGTACAAAAATGATTGCTCAAGTATGCAGTCTCCTAAAGCAGAGATTCTCAAACTGTTTTTATTTATTAGATTATATTCAGTTGTTTGTAAAGGGACATAACCTAGGTAGAGATCATGGTACTGCATATTTTAGGGAGATCGTGGTACTGCATATTCTCCAAGTCTATTCTCCTACCTAGTCCATTCTTCAAATGCAAATATATTAACTTACACAAATAAAGATTTCTTATATATAGGGCTAAAAGAAATCTGTACTTGGTTGTCCAGAAGCATTAAGATGAAATTATTCAGTTCAGATTATATCAGAATTACACATACATTTATGTATTTAGCAGCCACAATTGATTTAGCAATCTCAGTTGGGACTACTAGTAGGAAATCATGTGACCAGGACTGCTCACCCTGACTTACAGCTGTTGCTTGTAACTGACAAGATTATGTAATCAGTTTCACATCTTAGGTTTTTGTTTTCCTTCTAACATTTTACTTCAGCTTTCCCTTTTTTCCCTTTGAAATGCTCACCCTGGTGCTAGGTAATTAGCAAGAAGAGAATTAATGTTTGTATTTACATTCATTGGAGAGGAAAGGGTTACAGGA